TTTAACAAAAAAACGAAGTCCAGATGACATGATTCAACCTTTTTTGTAGTTAGAAGAAGCACACAAATATTCTAGTTGGCAGAAAGAACATGAAAGGAGCACAAAACAGCTGAATAAACAGCTGAAATTAGCTGAAAGTAGCTGAAAAAAGTTTAAATTTGCACAAAGGAGCTGAAGCAGAACAAAATGTGAAAGGAGCAGTAAAAAGTTGTAAACAGATGTAAAGATTTGAACGATGGAAAATGAGCTCAGTTCATTTTCTACGAGGGAAAAGTGGCAGAAACAGCTAAATATTTCAAAAAGCTAAAGTTGCACCAATACCAAAAGTCATAGCAGGATTGTCCTGAATGAGCTGAACGTTTTGATATATGAGGAAATAGCTTGAAAACTGCGGGATGAGAAACGCACCAAAAAACGTATAGAAGTAAAATTAGCTGTGTGAAACAGGTTCACTTACAGATTCGGTTACGTCTACAAGTTTTGTCAATAAGATGAGTCAGGCGTGTATACTTACATGTTTAATTTTATTGTAACAGCTTTATTCAAAGTTAAACAGTCACTACAGTTTTACACGAGCTGAAAATAATTGTGTTACTGTTATCAGCCTTTAGTTGTTTCTTTCCAGCACTTCTCGTATCTTGAGCCTAAAACAAAGTAATAAAACATGTTTACTGTCATGAAATGACTCAGTTGTCCTCCCTGAGGGTAACATTTTTAATAAAGTCTATCAGCAGAGAGATAAACAGAACAAACTCTGCAGGTAGTTGTGCCAAGGTAATGAAGTCTTTCACATTCTGGAGTCAATGGTAGATGGTAAATGAACTGTACTTATAGGTATATAGCACTTTTTCTATCTAATCAAGACACTCAAAGCGCTTTACAACACAACCTGTGCCGTCATTTACCCATTCATACAGCACTCTACTAGATCTATACAAAGGTACTCTGAATCAAAGTAATCAGTGCTTTATCACATTCATACACCGATGGAACATACATCGGAGGCAACGAGGGGTTCAGTGTCTTGCCCAGGGACACTTCAGCATGTGACTGCTGGTGGAATCGAATTCGCAGCTCTCCCACTGGAGGGCGACTGCTCTAACCACTCAGCCACAGCTGCCCTTTTGTCAAGACAAAAGGATCAGAAGTATTCCTGAATCTCAAAGGTTGGGTTATCTCTTTCACCTGAGGCGACGGCCAGGCGCTTGTCTGGCAATGATCGTGACAAGCGACTCTGATCCAGCCACTCTCTCACAAAACTATTCATCCTGAATTCAGACCTCTCTGGTGACCTGTAGGAGCAGAAAACAATCCCAGACACAACCATGAGAGCCGAGCCCACGATCCCCACACTGATGCCGCTGCCCACCCTCTGAGCGTCCGGTGCTGGCGGAAGTTTAAACTCCGTGGGGAACTCGATGGTCTGATTTGTCACAACTGAGCTCAGGTTCCAGATCAGAGGAACCAGTGACAGTACGGCCGCCAGCAGGCACAGGACTCCGGTGCTGATGAAACCCAGCCGGACAGAGGACGAGTTCTTCCCCACCACAAAGTAGGCGTTCCTCATGGCGTAAACCCCACTAGCATTCCCGCAGAGGCCCACCAGCAGAGAAAGCAGCATGAGCACCTGACCTGCCGCGATCTCAGGAGGCGTGAAGGCCTCCTTCAGGCTGATGTACCTGCAGTGCATGTTCCTGAAGCCGTCACTCACGTCAGTGTAGCTGGTGAAGCAGGCCCTCCAGATACCCACCCAGGCCACTCCGGAGGTGATGACCTTTCTGTCGGAAACCTGCCACACCCTCCACTGGATGAGTCCCAGAGCCATATTGGTGAGGGTCCAGCCCACGAAGGACAGCCAGAGGGCCCCAAACTGGGAGTGGGCTGTGTGAGCCAGGTAAGTCATCGCAGAGGATCCACAACAGAGTCCCAGATCACCAGGGGAGTCGTAAACCCTTCAGAATGGGTTCTATCCAGAGATCACATCCAGGTGTACGGCGTCGCCTCCGAGTAATGGTGTCGCATTAAGGTTGCAGCTAGCTGTCCACCTTTGTGTTCACCTTCTCTCCTGCCTGAGAGAAGAAATAAAGACAAACACGATCGGTAAAAGCAGCAGTCAGCGTCACTCAACGAGCGAATCACAACAACAAGGCAGACGTCTGAAAGCTCAATATTTAAAGTTCAGTTAAACATTAGCAGCTTGATTGTTCACAGAACTAGGTGTGGACGGAAACATTTCTTTACCGCTGAAGGTCAAAAGGTGCAGCTGGACAACATCAAGTTCTCATGCCTATAATCAAGTGTTAACATTTCTCTGTTGTCAACAAAGGGAGCTCTTTGGTTTGCAATGACATTTTTGTGCTAAAAGTCGAGACGTTATTTGTATTTTCATCAGATAGATTCCTGTTCAGGAGCTCAAGGAACAATAGTGTGGTGTTTATGAAGCATTCACACTATTGTCATCCATTTTTCTTCTGTATGTTTTTTTGGCACAATTCTCGTCCCGCAGTTTTCAAGCTACTTCCACAAATCATAAATCAAAACGTTCAGCTCTTTCAGGACAATCCTGCTATGACCATACTATTTTTTATTTATTTATATTTAGTCTTTTCTGCCACTTTTTTCTCATAGAAAATGAATTGAGCTCATTTTACATCTTTAGATGTGTTTACAACCTTTTACTGCTTCTTTCACATTTTGTTCTGCTTCAGCTTCTTTCAGCTTCTTTGCACAAATGTAAACATTTTTCAGCTAATTTCAGCTGGGGGGTTTTTCAGCTGTTTTGTGCTCCTTTCAGATGCTAACTACAACATTTTTGTGCTTCTTTTAACTTCTTTCTGCTAATTTCAGCTCGGTATGCTCCTTTCAGCTTATTTATGCAAGTTTCAGCTTTTTCTACTATTTCAGAATCTCAAACTCTCTCATTCTAATTTTAACTTTTTCAGCTAATTCCGCATTTTTTTTGCACTTATCTAAACTTTTTTCTACCTAATTCAGCAAAAATGTGCTGCCTCCAATTCCTGCTAGTAATTTAAGTTTCTTTTGGCTTTTTTAGCTACTTTTCAGCTGGTTTTATTCTCATTTCAGCTTTTTTCAGATAATTTCCACTTCTTCGTGCTCATTTCTGCTTCTTTCAGCCTAATTGGGCAAACATGTTCTTTCTGCTTTCTTCTGTTATTTTCTGCTTGTTCTACCTTTTCAGCTACATTATTAGCATTTTTAGCTAATTTGAGCTGTTTTCAGATAAATTCAAGTTTTTCATTGTAATTTCTGTTACTTTCAGCCTAATTAACTTCTTTATTCTAATTTTAGCTTGTTAAGCTCCTTTCAGCTCAGCTTAAGCTATTTCTACCATTTCAGCTACTACTTAGTTATTTTATGCTAATTTTAGCTTTTTCAGCCACCCCCCCCCCCCCCCCCCATCTTTTTTTTTTTAGCTCATTTCAGCTCTTTCGGCTTCCTTCTGGTAGTTTAAGCTTCTTTCTTTCCTTTTAGCTACTTTTCAACCATTTATTTTGCTAAGTTCAGCTATATTTAACTACTTTCCTATTTTAAGGACTAATTTCTGCTTACTACCTAATTCAGCAAACATGTTCTTTATGCTTTCTTCATCTAATTTAGGCTTGTTCTTCCATTTCAGCTACATTTTAGCATGCTTTTTCTCAGCTTCCTTTTTTTACAGCTGTTTCTCAGCAAGTTCTCCTGCAATAAGCTTTTCGCAGTTTTCGCACTGCATTTTCGCAGGAAATGCAATTTCTCTAGTTTCAGCTTATTTCTGCTTTTTTCAGATAGTGTCCACTTTTTTGTGCTCATTTGTGTTCCTTTTAGCCTAACATGTTCTTTCTGCTTTCTGCTACTAATTTAAGCTTGTTCTACCTTTTCAGCTACTTTTTTTTTTTTTAGAAATGTTTCAGCTTTTTTCAGATAAATTGACATTTTTCTTGGTAACTCCTGCTACTTTCAGCCTAATTAACTTCTTTCTGCTAATTTCAGCTTGTTATGCTCCTTACAGCTGTTTTCAGTTAGTTTAATCCTTTTCTGCTATTGCAGCCACTATTTAACCGTTTTTATGCAAATTTTAGCTTTTTCAGCTAATTCCACATTTTTTTTTAACTGATTTCCTTCTGTTTCCTTCTCATAGGTTAAGCTTATTTCTGCCTTTTTGGATACTTTTTGGAAGTTTTTTTGTTGTTGCTAATTTTAGGTTTTTAGGTTTTTATTTGTTTGTTTGTTTTTTTTAGCTAATTTTCAAATTTTTGTGCTAATTTTTGCTTATTTAAACCCAATTCAGCAAATATGTGTTCTTTATGCTTCCTTCTGCTAAGTTAAGCTTGTTTGGTTTGGTTTATTTGGTCAGTTGTTTCAGATCCTACCTCGCTGACAGATCTTTTTGTGTCTCCATCAAGGATTTTAGTTCTGCAGTGGCAGAGCTTAAATGGGGGGTTCCGCAGGGTTCCATCCTGGGTCCCCTCCTATTCTCTTTATACCTGCTGCCGCTTGGTGCTATTTTCTGGAAACACAACATGCCCTTCCACTTCTATGCTGATGACTGTCAAATTTACTTCCCCCAAGACACAATGGTACGTGCTCTATTCAACCTCTGCTCGACTGCCTGGCTGACGTCAGGGACTGGATGGCTTTAAACTTCTTAAGTTTCAATGAAAATAAGTCTAAAGTCATGTTGTTCCCTCCCAATGACACGATCACAAACCACTGTATCGACCTCTCCGCTCTAACCCTGTCAGAAAAACAAAGAGTCACTAATCTGGGAGTGATAATGGACCCTTCCCTGAAACTTAACAATCATGTAAACATGATTGTTAAATCATGTTTCTTCCAACTGAGGCGGCTGTCTAAACTGAAGCCCATATTGTCCAAAAAGAACCTGGAGACAGTAATACATGCATTCATTACATCTAGGCTTGATTACTGCAATTCGCTCCTGTTTGGTATCAGTCAGACCTCCATTGCACGACTACAACTGGTCCAGAATGCAGCAGCCCGATTTTTAACCAGTACAGGCAAAAGAGAGCACATTACTCCAGTTTTGGCTTCACTGCACTGGTTACCGGTTCACTTTCGAATCCAGTTCAGAATACTCCTGTATGTCTACAAATCACTGAACAGTCCCCCCCCCCCCATATCTCTCTGATCTGCTACAACCGTATGTCCCACCACATTCCCTGAGGTCAGCGGACCAGTTGCTCCTCACAGTTCCAGGAACTCGTCTTAAGCGCAGAGGTGACAGGACCTTTTCTGTAGCAGGACCAAGACTTTGGAACGAGTTACCTCTGCTTGTCAGACAGGCCCCCTCCCTCTCGGTTTTCAAGTCCCATTTAAAAACCCACTACTATTCGGTAGCTTTCAACACCAGATGATCTGTGTTTTGAACCTGTACGCTCCACACTGGTTTGTCTTCATTATCTGCATCGTTTTTATGTCTATATTTCTGATTTACTTCATTTTGTATTTTGCTTTGTGTGTTACCTGTTGTTTTGTCTGTACAGCACTTTGGTTGGCCTTGTCGCTGTTTTAAGTGCTCTATAAATAAAATGGTATGGTATGGCTTGTTAATTTTAGCTACATTTCAGCACGTTTTTAGCTAATTTCAGCTGTTTTTCAACAAGTTCTTCTGCAATAAGCATTCACACTGCATTTTCGCAGGAAATGCAATTCCTCTAGTTTATTCTGTCATCAACTTTCAAAAGGCTCAAACAAGTAAACAAAGGAATATCGTTACAACTATTTTCTTGCAGGGTGTGTTAGCCTTTCTGTGTTGGGAGAGAGCTTCTGCCACAAGTGGAGGAGTTCATCATCTCTGGCTTTTGTCCACGAATGAGGGAAGAATGGAGCGGGAGATCGATCGACGTACTGGTGTTGCTTCCACAGTATTGTGGATTATGTGATGGTCTGTTGAGATGAGGGAAATGAACTGCAAGACGAAGCTCTCAATTTTTTGGTCAGCCTTTGCCCTCGCGGCACAAACTCTTGGTAGTGACAGAACAGAATCTTGGTTCCACGTCGTCAAAATGAGTTTAATCCACAGGGTAGCTGGAGAGACTCGGAGTAGAACCGCCCTAGGTTTTTCGGGCAAGTCCAGCCGGGAGGAGACCATGAGGAAGACTCAGGCCATGGTGGAGAGACCATCTCGGTTGGCCTTGGAGTCCTCCCAGAAGAGCTGGAAGAGCTGGCTGTGGAAAGAGATGGGCCTCCCTGCTCAAGCTGCTGCCCTGCAACCCAATCCGGGAGGCAGGGAGGGTTTAGGGATGGATATTTTTTTAATTTACAGGGCCAAAAAATATAAAAATTAGGAACACTAAACTGTAACATTCATAAAAGAGCTGCAATACAAATAAACAGAATATACAATATAAGCTTATCAGCATTACTTGTACGGCGATGCTTTAAGTGGCACCATATTTTTAATATTTCAAAATATATTCTTTTTTGTAATTTGTGTTTTTGTAGGAAAATAAAGTTTAGGAGTGCCTCACTGTTTTCTCTTTGTTTTGTGGAAAGTATTGCTTAAAAAAAAAAAAAAAAGTATTTATTTATTGTCAAAAATGCACCAAAACTTTATAATATTCCAAAATTGAGTAGTTGTGTAAATTATAATGTCTAGTTTACATTATATCAATTATTTAATCATTCAAAATAAGGGAAAACATAAAAAAACAGAACGGAAGTTATGCCAGCTTTTCCTCCATAAATAAATATAGTTGTCAGTTTTAAGATTTCAACACGAAATCACGCCGAGAAACTTTTTAGCCTAAAGATTTAGAGCTGCTTTTGGGACGATGACTGACATGTGGAACTAAATTAACAAAAATCAGTAAGTTTGAAAAAGTTTTGTCACGTACCTTGTCTTCAAACGGAGAAGCAGTCTGAATGCTGAACAGGAAGGTTTTTATTCGCTCAAACCGCTCGACACTTCCTCATCCTGTAAATACAGTTCCCTGTAAATGATTGACAGGATATGACCTCTGATGGAGGCGATGGAGTCGTTTTAGTTTTTACACGCACTCAGCTTCACTTCAGGGAGGACGGACAGAAATTTCTCAAACTGATCATTAGTTTGGTCAATATCAGCTTAGCTGCTGTTTCACTAAAAAGAACGTAACATAAAAGGTGATGGAATCAAAATCTGCTGTTCAGGTTCTTGCCTCTAAAAATAAATTGGGCTTTTTTTGTCTCTGAACTTTTCAAAGGGCTTTAAATGTAAAATCATCCTTGTTTCTGATAAATGTCTATGAAATATAGCAAGGCAGAACTAGAGAAGAATGAAAATTTTCATATTTAAATTAAAGGCATAAAAAACAGGAAGAACGTGAACAGTTTAAAAAAATATTTTTTTTTTGCTTTAACTGATTATACTGCACTACCATATTTTTTTGGACTATAAGGCGCAATTAAAATCCTTGAATTGTCTCAAAAATCGATAGTGAGCCTTATAATCCGGTGCGCCTTATAGTCCAAAAAATACGGTACCTTATTCCTGCTCTGTCCAAAACAAAACAAACAGCTTAAGCAATAACTATATTTAGCCATTTAAAAAGTCAAACTTAAACTTTTTCTTTATGCTGATCTGAGAAACAAAAACATTCGGTTTAAATTTTTTTACCGTAATTTCCGGACTATTGAGTGCACCTGAATATAAGCTGTGCCCACTAAATTTAAAAATAAAAAAATTGTAGATAAATAGGTTGTACTCATCTATAAGCTGCGAGTGTCCACGGTGTAACATGAGATATTTAAACAAAGATTTATTTTTATTTTTAATTAAATACATACAAAAAATATGTACAATAAATAAGAAGAATCCATTCAGAGGACCTGGCTTTACTTTGTTAGACGTACAGTAAGTGTTTTTTTTCCAAACCGCGCCTGTAACATGGCTAGTTATAAAAAAAAAATAAAAATAAA